CCAAAGTCACCAAAGAACTTCTCACTGTTAAATCCAGCAGTTACTTCTTAGACCTCATTTATTTAACCCTAGCAACCACATTTGAGACAATTGCTCAATCCCTCCTTCTCAGTATCCCGCTGTCTTGGGTTGCCTCCCAGTTTTATGTTCATTCTTTCTCAGTCTTTGTTATTGGTTTCTGTTCCTCTTCCATCTCCCTGCCTTCTAAATGTTGGAATACCCAGGGCTTGTTCCTTGGGCAACTTTTCTTTTCTACTTCTATTCCATTTTAATTGATCTATTGGCTTTTTGGCTATATCTTTTTGTATTGTGTTTTTAGTTGTGCTAGGGATTACAATATAATCTAAATTTCTCAATCTACTTGGAGTTACTACTGTACACTTCACACAATATATAGAAATCTTGCAATCACATAAGCCTTCCTAACTCCCCAACTGTTTTTTAGTTTACTGTAGTTGTCATGTGTTTTATATCTACATATATTGAAAACCCCACTATTATTACAGATTTTTTTCCTTAAGAAGTAAAATTTAAAAAGTATCTTAAATAGCTTAAGAGGGAAAAATGGTCCTTTATGTTTACCCAACTATTTGCCAATTCCAATGTTCTCTTTTATTCCTGAACATTGAGGTTTCTCTCTCATATAATTTCCCTTCAACCTGAAGAGATTTCTTTAGCATTTCTTGAAGATCAGGTTTGTTGGCCAAGACTTTTAAAGATGCTGTTCTATTGACTTATGGCCTCCGTGATTTCTGATGAGAATTCCATGGTCATTTGAAACCTTGCTTTCCTGCTTCTAAACCTGACCCCAGTTACACATATGTTATATCTTTGGATATTATTCCACAAGTCCTTGAGACTCCATTCACTAAAAGAAGGTGTTTTTTTTTTTTTCTCCATGTTTTTCAGATTGGATAATTTTTGTTGATCTATATTCAAGCTCACTGACTCTTTCCTCTTTTATTTCCATTCTGCTGTTAAGCCATGGAAAGTATTTTTCAGATATATTTTTTCAGTTTGTAATCCCATAAAACTTCTGTTTTATGGTTTTTGTAGTTTCTATTTCTATTTTAGAGTTTTATTCTATAGTTTTTTATTTTCTCTATACAGAAAACAGTTTATATTTTTCTATTTCTCTGCTAAAGTTTCCTATCTTTTCATTCACATGTGCTTTTCTTTATCTTGTTGAGAATATAATAACTGCTTTATTGTCTTTATCTGATAATTCCTATACCCAGGTCATCTTGGGGTTTTCATCTATTGATTATGTTTTCCCTTTACATTTGTCCAGTAGTT